CTGAGACTCTTCCCCGTACTCCAGTTCTTCCTGATTTTGATGCCGAACAGTGATCACCTTCCTGATGTCTAGATCCCACCAAAAACTCCAAGAACTGGGCAATCTATAGCAGATCGATCAGCCCTTTACTACTTCATGCAGTCGGCTGATCTAGGGCTGCATGACAATGCTTCAAGAAACCCTAGCCGATGCTCAAATACCAAGTAGGAATCTGCTGAATTAAAAAATATGAAAGAAAGTAGTTTCTTGAAGAGAGAAGGAAGAGAGAAGGAGAAGAAGAGAAGAAGAGAAGTTGAAAAGAAAAGAGAGCAATGATCTGGCCACCCCCTTCACTTATTATTTATACTAAAATAATAGAACAGTACAAAGACAACTATACCCTTATAGGGTGGCATAACACAAAACAGCATATATAACACTCAAAAACATAATAAAATTTGGACTCAAATAACTACTGTAGTCCCCACCTCCTATCTAACAACTAACATAAAACATCTACTCAGAAAAACATCATAAAACTAATTAATCTTCAACAAAGCAGTCCTCTGACTTTCTTTTCCCACTTTAAATCTGTTGATTTTAGTGTTATCTGAGTAGTCTTTGTATTTTTGAAATGACCATCTTGGTGGTCATTTTCTGGTACTCTTTACTCTATTAGTATTTAAGCTTTGAAAAGCTTCATGCTTTTGTTGATAGTTTAGATTCTGTGTTTAATTTCATTTTTTCTTTTCTTTTTTTCAATAGGGAGTTTTGGGACTTATTTGGCTTTCTCCATCTAAGAAAAGAGTTATCAACATACTCTGTGATGTTAGTGGAATAGTGAAACCATCAAGGTGTGTTATTTATTGCTGCATTGCCATCTCTATTTTGCAATTGACATTGCTTTCTCCATTTCAATGCAACCACCCCTCAGTGACTTCAGTTTTAATGTTATTCCTCCCTGTCTAACCATAACATCCCATTTGAAACCAAGAATATTAGTCTACAAAAAGACAGATAATAACTAAATTTTCCCAGAACACAGGAATAGGAATATCTCTTCTATGAAGTAGCTTATAATGGTGCATGCCTTACAACTTCCTGTTTGTGCTGTATTTTTTCTTATGTTTATTTTCAGGATGACACTGCTTCTGGGACCTCCAGGCTCAGGGAAAACAACCTTATTGCAAGCCCTTGCTGGGAAGCCTGATAAGGACCTGAGGGTACTCTCTCTCTCTCTCTCTGACACTCAGACACATCCATAAACTCACACTCACACATCACAATCAGATACACATAATAAATATGTATAAAAATTTCTTTATGCATGTTCACATTGTATACTCCAGATCTGCTACCCACAAAATGTTCCCACATCTCTACCCACACACCACCACCACCGTGTATTGGGAACATCTCCCTATGAATGAAAAGGAGATATTTCCAATACACAGATTGTGGGTAGCAGATCTGAACCCCACTTTGTATGGTTTCTTCTCTTTGATAACTTGGAATGGTGAACAGGTAACTGGGAAAATCACCTACTGTGGTCATGAATTGACAGAATTCGTCCCTCGGAGAACCTGCGCTTACATAAGCCAGCATGATCTTCACTATGGTGAGATGACAGTCAGAGAGACATTAGATTTCTCAGGACGCTGCTTGGGTGTTGGAACCAGATATGATCTGCTGGCAGAATTGTCAAGACGAGAGAAACAAGCAGGAATTAAACCAGATCCTGAGATTGATGCATTCATGAAAGCCACTGCAATGGCTGGTCAGGAAACAAGTCTTGTTACAGATTATGTTCTCAAGGTTATCTCCTCCATTTCAATTTAATATGTATTTATTCTTGTTTAACAAGCCATGTTCAAGAAGGCTGACTTCCAAAGAATCTGACAGATACTTGGATTGGATATTTGTGCGGATATTCTTGTGGGTGATGAAATGAGAAGGGGTATATCTGGTGGACAAAAGAAGCGTGTGACTACTGGTATGAATTATTGGAAAAAGAATCATGAAGGAAAATTATTCAAGCTGAACCATTTATTTAACAAATATCTAGCAATATGCTTTTAGACTTGAAACCTTAAACTGTTTTTTAATCATTTCATCCCACTGTAGAATTTTCTCGAATTTATGTTATGGTTTTAATTTCATGCATATCTAGGAAACAATTTTCCTATCTCTAAAATGTTATATTGTTTGAAAAATAGCATTTTCTGATTGATTTAGAAAAGTCTGTAAATTATCCTTGTTTATGTGAAACATTTATCTGCAGGATATTTCATGCACAATAACTATCTAAACTGTTTTTTCTTCTTCGTAACATTTTTTTTAATGACAGCACCATTATATAGCATAAAAACTAATATCTTTGGTTTATTTATTTATTTATTTATTTATGTTTTCTTGAACCTTTTAATTGGAATCATTTTTTATCATCCATTCTAAGCAGTTCAGAGATTTTTCTTTACTTATTTCTTTTCTGTTGAAGCATCAACCATGTTAGAAAGCTCTCACTTTGCTTGCCATACAATGTACCTTACTATTTCTATTGTCATGCACTATGCTGTTGACATTTTCATGACCATTCATATGACACTTGAGCAGTATTGATTTTAAGCTCTCTTTCTGTATAAAAACTGATAATCACCATTAAAGTTGAACCGATCTTTACATATCAGTTGTAAATTTATGAACCCCATTCTTTAACTATTATATATCCCAGCAAAAACTCCATTACAAATTATAATTTATCAATGGAGATTTGCAATAGTGCTATGATATCTATGAATCAAACAACCACCACAACAACAATAATGCTATTATATCTCATATTTCTCATATCTAAAAGATTAAGTACACATTGCTTCCAAAATTTTTTGGGAGGATAAATGCTGTTATCTTTCCTTATTTTGTTTTCAGTTTTTTAATTTTTTTCCTGCAGTGGTGCATGGTCTTTACAAGTTCCAGATATCAACAATCACAGTTTTTGGTTGCTCTATTTGCAGGAGAGATGTTGGTTGGACCAGCAAAAGCTCTCTTCATGGATGAGATATCAACTGGGCTCGATAGCTCCACCACTTTTCAGATTGTCAAGTTCATGAGACAGATGGTTCATATTATGGATGTAACCATGGTTATCTCTCTTCTGCAGCCTGCACCTGAGACATATGAACTTTTCGATGATATTGTCCTACTTTCAGAGGGTCAGATTGTCTACCAAGGTCCCCGGGAAAATGTCCTTGAATTCTTTGAATCAATGGGTTTCAAATGCCCAGAAAGGAAAGGAGTTGCAGACTTTTTGCAAGAAGTTACTTCCAAGAAAGATCAAGAACAATACTGGTTTAGAAAGAATCAACCTTACAGATATATTTCAGTATCAGAGTTTGCACAATCCTTCAATTCTTTCCAAATTGGGCAACAGCTGTCAGATGATCTCAGTGTTCCTTATGATAAAACCAAGGCCCATCCTGCTGCATTGGTTACGGATAAGTATGGCATTTCCAACTGGGAACTTTTTAAAGCATGCTTCTCAAGGGAGTGGCTGTTGATGAAACGCAATTCTTTTATATACATTTTTAAAACCACTCAGATAACAATCATGTCCATAATTGCATTCACTGTCTTCCTGAGGACAGAGATGAAGCATGGTCAAATAGCAGATGGGGGAAAATTTTATGGAGCATTATTTTTCAGTCTGATTAATGTGATGTTCAATGGAATGGCAGAACTTGCAATGACTGTTTTCAGGCTCCCTGTGTTCTTTAAACAGAGAGATCACTTGTTCTACCCCGCATGGGCTTTTGGGCTACCAATATGGGTCCTCAGGATTCCCCTCTCTCTGATGGAATCAGGAATATGGATCATTCTTACATATTACACTATTGGGTTTGCTCCTGCTGCCAGCAGGCAAGTTTGCTCCCATTTTTTCCTGTTTATAGTAGTAGTTTAAATTTCCATGGTCTTGTGGAATTGAATTATCACTAAGCCAAATAAACTAACATCATAGTTTCTCACATTAACACATCTTCAGGTTCTTCAGACAGTTCTTGGCATTCTTTGGTGTACATCAAATGGCTCTGTCTCTCTTTCGGTTCATTGCAGCAGTTGGAAGAACCCAAGTTGTTGCAAACACATTAGGTACCTTTACCTTGTTAATAGTGTTTGTGCTTGGAGGATTCATTGTCGCCAAAGGTTAGCTACCAACATACACTATTTATAATTTTACCTGTTAAATTTTTGGTGTGGTTTATCCTGCCTCTACACATTTAATACCTGGATTACTGCTGATGTAGTAAAGAATTCAATGCAGAATGCTGAATTCTTTCATGTGGAACCAAGATATTTGAGATATTTAGTACAAGTAGAACTGTTTTTTTTTTTTAATGTTTGCAGATGACATTGAACCATGGATGATTTGGGGCTATTATGTTTCTCCAATGATGTATGGGCAGAATGCAATAGCCATAAACGAATTTCTTGATAATAGATGGAGCACAGTAAGATCTCTTATTTTATCTTCGTACCTTAGCTTGATTCGTAAATACATAGAGAGACCATACATGTGAATACAAAATACATAAACGCATTTTAGTACCTGACACTTGTCATCTTACCCAGAATCCAATATCAATCTGATGATAATCCGGTTATGTGATGCAGCCCAACAATGACCCTTTAATTCAAGAACCAACAGTTGGAAAGGCTCTTCTCAAGTCCAGAGGCATGTTTGTGGATGACTATTGGTTCTGGATTTGTATTGGAGCACTTTTTGGGTTCTCTCTGCTATTCAATGTTTGTTTCATTGCAGCACTAACATTTTTGAATCGTAAGCCATCAGTTCCCATTTACTAGCTCCAAGTCTATGCTGTGTTGTGCAAATAATATCTCTATATTAATCATCCCCTGTAAAACTAATTGCAGCTCTGGGGGATTCCAAAGCCACAACTTTGGAAGAGGATCCTGAAAAGAAGAGAAAGGAGAGCTCATCCTTCAATGGAAAACAAACATTGAGGACTTCAAATATAATATCTGAAGGTTTGAATTTTTCCTGCTTAAACCCCGTCCACATCCCAGGTTCTAGTACGTTTGTTAGCAGTCGAGTGAGATGTTTTCTGGAATGACCTTGTTATTAAAAAGTTAGTCTTTTGTCATGAATGTATTAGTTCACGGGTTAAACCGAGTCACAAGATTTTATTCACTGTAAAATTGCCCTAAATTCTAAAGGGAGTTGCTTTTCAATTATCTATGTCCTGCATAGTTTATAAAGATGTCAAGGTAAAGAAAGAAAAAATTATGAATGACAATAAGTTTTGACATTCAGAAGATATGTCAGGAGCATGGAAATAGAAAACTTGTTTCTGAAAAGGAGACAACAATACGTTCTCAGTTTCTTATTATTATGTGTTTAATTTACAAAAAAGACTATACTAGATAAAATTGATGATTTATAAGCTATAGTTGAGAGACACAAATGACACCGAACAGAGTCGGATGTCAGATCTGGGTTCATGTAGCAAACCCATGTAGCTGAGACAAGGCTTAGTTGAGTTGAGTTGAAGGGATATAAAACATAGCTTTGAAATTCGGTTGCAAATAACTTTCTAGGGTGAGCTCTTATTTGAATTAATGTTAGTGCTGCTTGCCTGCTTATATTATTGTTTTTTTCTTTTTTGTGATCCAGAAGTTAAAAGATCCATATCCACCACAATCAAATGTAAAGGACTTAAAAATGGGTTAATCACATAGCTAAGACAATGGTTTAGGCATCAACTGCTACAATTGTTAGGTCACAACAGTCTTTAGTTATTCCTTATTATGCTGTATTGTATACATAAAATGATGGTTCAGCTATAGTGAACTTTATTAACCATTATCCATGCTGTAATGGTTTCTTTCCTGTTCTTTTAGGATGTAAAATAATGTTATAATATTGAATAATAACACTAGTTAAAATACAGAAAACATCTTATGCATTAGAAAGAGCATTAAATTGATGAATCGCTGCCACAACAGTCAAGTTACCTATATTTTAGCCATGTCGACTTTTGTTGTTTCGAACCTTGTCTAAGTTGTTGCCAGTGGACATGTTTGCAATCTCTAAGCCATATCCAAGTCTATACACTAAACCTCCCAGAGCATTCACAATATAATTTGAAAAGAATAAGGCCGTTGGTTTCACCCTTTCCAATACGTGCACACTCTTGAAGTCACATGATGRCAATATGGTAGATATTGCATAAACATCAAGAAAAACATTCTAACATGGGGGCTTACATTACATTTTTTTTCCAAAAATATGCCAATTATTGCAGGTATTGACATAGAAATGAGGAATGTTCCAGAGAGTGTTGCAGACCATGCACCCAGAAAAGGAATGGTGTTACCCTTCCAGCCCCTTTCACTTGCATTCAATCATGTGAACTACTATGTTGATATGCCTGCTGTAAGTCCTTTTGTCCCAAACAACTGCATAGATTTTTTCTGGGAGTTCTCCTTAAATTTCTAATTTGAACCATGTGGAATCACTGGAAAGCAGCATTAATGAAATAGTTTGGTTCTCTAGTTGTAACCGGAAACTCTTCATATGTCAGAGAGCTCAGTTGTTACTGAAATATTGTTCATTTGTCGACTTTCTTTACTTCCCTGATATGGAAAAAAATTCAATCAGAAACTTCTTATACACTCTCAGATGCATAAGAGAATCAACATAAAAGACCCATGATGAAATGGTAATTTTATTTTTTTCTTCCATCAGGAAATGAAGAACCAAGGAATTGAAGAAAGCCGTCTCCAATTGCTAAGAGATGTTAGTGGTGCATTCAGACCAGGTGTTCTGACAGCATTAGTTGGTGTCAGCGGTGCTGGAAAGACCACCTTGATGGATGTGCTGGCAGGAAGGAAGACTGGTGGGTACATTGAAGGAAGTGTCAGCGTCTCTGGTTACCCAAAGAATCAAGCAACGTTTGCTCGGATTAGTGGTTACTGTGAACAGAATGATATTCATTCACCACATGTAACTGTTTATGAATCTCTTGTCTACTCAGCCTGGCTGCGTCTTACTTCAGAAGTAAATAAGGAAACACGGAAGGCAAGTTATTTAGTCATTGGTATTTTTTTCTTCTTGTCCCCATATTAATGATTTTTAATTACTTAATATGTGGATTGATGGATAAACTATCAATTAATGGTAAAAGTAATGAGGAACCACAAAAGACAAGCTACCTCATGTTTTCTTGTCTGAATGATGAGTTGACTCATATGGCATGGTGATAGTGGGTGTAGTTAGATGAATGATCTGAATTTATTATTTATATAGTTCTTTCTTCTAAAGATTCACAACAATTGCTGCCTCACTATCCAAATCTATTTAAACACTCCTCTGTTAAACAAAGCTATACTTTGACATCAGACAAGCTTCCAAAAGTCATGAGTTTTTAAATGTTTACTTTACTTACAGTCCTTCATTCTGCACTTCAATTAATTTTTTAATTGTGAAGTTTGACTTGCCTATACTTGATATCATGCCCTTGCGACAAATTATGTTTTATGGCATGAAGTTGGACCAGATTAGCAATATTGTTAACTTTTATCTTCTCTCTTGTGTTGTAGATGTTTGTTGAGGAAGTCATGGAGTTGGTTGAGCTTAACCCATTGAGATATGCATTAGTCGGCCTTCCAGGTGTAGATGGTCTTTCAACAGAACAGAGAAAGAGGCTCACAATTGCTGTAGAGTTGGTTGCTAATCCATCAATTATCTTCATGGATGAGCCAACATCAGGCCTTGATGCTAGAGCTGCAGCTATTGTTATGCGTACAGTTAGAAATACAGTTGATACAGGACGAACTGTTGTCTGTACTATTCATCAACCAAGCATAGACATCTTTGAAGCTTTTGATGAGGTGTGGCTCAAATTTATAATTTTTTCTGTGGTTTCCATACAATCACATTCATTGTTTTTCACTTGATACCACGTCTCTTTGCAGCTTCTGTTGATGAAGAGAGGAGGACAAGTCATTTATGCCGGAACACTTGGTCGTCATTCTCATAAACTTATTGAATATTTTGAAGTGAGTAAATTCTTTCGATCATGATTGGTTGATTGGTAGCCAATTCCAATGGCTAAATAATGATTCCTTTGGCATGATTATAATTTTGTGGAAACCAGAGCCTGTTTTTTTTTTTAGAAAAACATATTTCTGGGCAAATATCCTGTGATTCAATGCCATCAAATGCAAATTGCAAAATAGATGGAACAGAATACAGGAGCGAACACACACAATGTTATTGTCGACATCTATGGTTACTGATATATGCATTGAGTTCACTGTTTAGTTCAAACTCATTACATGGTGTATTGGAATTTTTAAATTTAAATTACTACAGACTAATCAATATTTTTTACATACTGGTACATAACCTTGAATAGGTGGCTTATACTTGGGGCTTGAATCTAACTTGTCCACAACCCACAGTTCTGTTGTTCCATTCTTCTGTTATTTATGTTCTATTCTTGTAGGCTGTCCCAGGGGTTCCCAAGATCAAAGATGGTTACAATCCTGCAACATGGATGCTCGAAGTTACTACTACTTCAGTCGAGAATCAATTCGGTCTGGATTTTGCGGAAGTTTATGCCAACTCTTCCCTTTATCAGTAAGGGGAATATGATATCATAACACATTATCAGATTCTGCCTGCTTGTATTTGTTTCTGATTTTTCTTCTGGCAAACTCATTCCTTTTTATGCTTATTCAGGAGGAACCAGGAACTCATTAAAGAATTAAGCACCCCAGCACCAGGTTCCAAGGATCTTCATTTCCCCACAAAATACTCACAGTCCTTTGCTACTCAATGTAAGGCATGTTTCTGGAAACAGCACTGGTCTTACTGGAGGAACCCACAGTATAATGCCATCCGATTCTTCTTGACAATAGTTATTGGTGCTTTGTTTGGGATCATATTTTGGAACAAAGGAGACAAGACGTAAGTGTGTCCTATGTTCTTTATCTTCTATTTAATATAGTTGTTGTAGTCTGAATACACTGATCTTCTATAAATCAAGTATTGGGGGATCTGCCACTCATAATTTGTGCAGATATTGGGTCCAACAATTATTTCTCCTAGAACATGCAGATATGCTAGGTGAAATTGAAAACCATACTGATTGCATATTTTTTACTTGTCCTTTTAAGTGAATTTTTGACATTGACAATCTCATAAATGAGACCCATCAAGTGGGATACATTATAAATGGAGACTATTGTCCGTGATTTCCATATTATGTATCCACCTTATGAGAAGAGCAACATTTTAAAATCTAAACAACCATATGAAAACAAATGAATATAAAGTGACATTATGGACAATAAGTAAGTTTTCTGTTGTTTCTGGGTACAAGGTAAATTTTAGCCTATTATGGATAATTTTTTATTATAAGATTCTTTTTGATGACCATAAATCCACCAATTAACATTTAAAAGTTGTTTTGGGGTTTATCTATTGTCCATGCGTTTGAAATTTCCATAGGTACCATGTTAGACTTCTTTAAGTAGACTTGATGACCTTACCCCAGTTTTACATGAAAAAATTGAAGAGCATACTGTTATGAAGAGTCTTACAGATTTGAGCGCAAATAATTTTTCAAAATCGCTTTGAGTAATAATAGAAAACAATTACTTTTTCAAGTAATCTTTTATTTTCATTTAACCTTGCCATCCTTATCTCTCTTCCTAGTATCTATTCCAAGTCTATCACTAATATTCTTGGAAAATCCTGTCATCCTATTCGAAGGATATGTTTAAGTTTGATGCTTAAAGTTTTCAAGTTTTGAAGTAAATTGTGAGGGTAGAAGTATCATTTTTCTGCCAGATGGGGATTTTTTGTACTTGTGTGACACTAAAAAATGTACCTGTTATTTAACAGGAGCAAACAGCAAGACCTGCTCAATCTTCTGGGAGCTATGTATGCTGCTGTTCTATTCCTTGGAGCCACCAATACGTCAGCGGTTCAGTCTGTTGTGGCAATTGAGAGAACAGTTTTTTATCGTGAGAGAGCAGCAGGAATGTACTCAGAAATGCCTTACGCATTTGCTCAGGTAAGAAATACTCAGCTCAGTTCTTTATGCCTTTATATTGTTGAAGAGGAGAAAATGTTGTACATCAGTCAAGATGAGTATAATAGATACCACAGATTCTAGTGAAGAGCATGAGGATAGCCTCACTGAGCATCAAATGGATCCACCATCTAGTCTGTATGTTAAAAGGCCATTATCCGATTTTGGTCCTAGCTATCTGGGGTTTTGGGAGGGGTGGACTGAATAAAGTCCTAAACTTTGGCTTTTTTTTCTTTTCCGCAAGGTGACCTCTCTCAGACTTGAACCTGTGTTTTCACACTTTCCAGCCTGAGATGTTACCATTATACCAAGTAATGGCCCCTAGCTTTTATATGCTGATTATAAATTGGACAAAGCTTTTAGTAAAAGTTAAGATGGATCTGGAAAAATCTTGTACTCAATAATTCCTATCTTTATATTCTTGTATGAAATATTTGGACTCTAAACATGTATTTCCTCAGTTAACCAACTTACACATGTTGGATTACCCTTGCATGCTATGCTTGGACTCATTCATGGACAATAGGTGTATCATATTTGTTCACTATGATACTCTGAGTTTTGACCAGATGAGAGGACAGTTTTATTCCTATTGGAAATGCTTGTACAGGTGAAAATACTGTATAAATATACACATAAACATGTCACATCTGTGGTAGGAGTTTTGGTGATAGTTTCAGAGTAGTTGTTTATTTGGGGCCAAGAGGTTTTGGTTTTAATATATAATGGCAATTTAAGACTAGTGATAGTGGGCAGTTATTTTATGTATTTTGACATTCAAATCAGATTTCTTTGAAAAGGTTACAAAAATCTATTATGTATTATTATCATAAAAGTCTTTTCCTTAGAAGAAAATTTCAAGAAGACTTGACTATTACTGCTATTTCCATTGGGATTTATGATTTAAGAATAAATAAATGAAAAACAATGATTCAGTTTTCCATACCATGTTATCTTCTTGAAAAAAAAAAAACAACCGTTTGTTACACCTATTTAATGTAATAGAATTAATCTCTAACATCTTTATCCTGTAGGTGGCTATTGAGACAATATATGTTGCAATTCAGACCTTAATTTACACCCTTCTCCTATACTCTATGATTGGGTTCCAGTGGCAAGCGGACAAGTTCTTTTTGTTTTATTACTTCATATTGATGTGCTTCATATACTTTACAATGTATGGAATGATGTTGGTAGCACTGACCCCTGGCCACCAAATTGCTGCCATTGTTATGTCCTTTTTCCTGAGCTTATGGAACTTGTTCTCTGGTTTCCTCATTCCTAGACCGGTACGTGAACTCAAACTCATGATTGTATTCTACAACTGGCAAATTTGATACACTTGTCATCAGGGTTTGGGTGGTCACTCTATTTGACATGGTGACTTTTACTTAAAAAGACCTCACCAGATCTTTCCGATGCTGGTGGCCAGTTTTCTGGACTTCCCTACATAATTTAGTCAATGGTTCCATTTATTTGATTCAGTCATTTTTTTTCTGATGACATGAAGATGTTATGGACTTATTGGTAAGACCTGTTCAAATAGGTCCGAAACCCTGCTTTGTGCATCATCTGTAACTTACGCCTTGCGGGCATAAGTTAACAGCTCGCTTTAATTTCCTTAGATTTTTTTTTTTCTTTTTCATTTTGACTACTAATTCCACTTTGACACTTCATTTGAACTTTTAGCAAATCCCAATATGGTGGAGGTGGTACTACTGGGCTTCTCCAGTTGCTTGGACACTCTACGGCCTTGTAGTCTCTCAGGTGGGCGACAAGGATACTCCAATTGAAGTTCCTGGACAGGGCACCACAACAGTGAAGTTGTTCCTTAAATCTTACTTGGGCTTTGAGCATGATTTCCTTGGGCCCGTTGTTGTAGCCCATATCGGCTTCGTCTTGCTTTTCTTCTTCGTTTTCGCATATGGTATAAAGTTCCTTAACTTCCAAAGGAGATAACAAGATTGTCCAAACGACGGAGGGTGTATGAATTTAATAGAGAGGAAAAAAAAAGATGGAGTTTTCTCTCTTTTTTTTGTTTTTCTTTAATTTTTCCTTGTTTGTTTTTCATTTTGGATGTATTCTTCTTCTTCTTCTTCTTTTGTTTAAAGTCCACAAAAGCCGCAAGGCATGTAATAACGATATTGTTTTATGTATGAAATCCCTGAATACAACCACAATATTTGTATTTTGTTGGTATGAAAAAGATACAAATAGAATTTAATGCATAATTAGGAAATTCACATCGGCATCCTACACAGGAAGCCTCACAAACGCCCCACAGCATATCCCAACCGTGTATTGAGAACATCTCCCATTGGCAACTTTGAGAGATGTTCCTAATGCATGCTGAGATGTGCATGTGGGGCGTTTGTGGGGGAGCAGATGTCATCTCTAATTAGAGAGGAGATGCATATTGTGTTTTCTGCTTGATTGAATAAAAATGCCTTTTGGTTTAAAAAAAAAAAGAAACAAAGTTAGGGATGCAAATGGATCAGATTGAATTGGATATAACGTAGAGCTAAATTTTGTTCATTTAAAGTTGGATTTGAATTCTGCACAAGGGATTGCAATTGGATATTGAATAGCATTGATAAATTAACCTAAAAATGGTTAAAATTGTTTGAAGTATTGGTATTTTTTAAGGCAAAAAAGAATTATAATTTCAGTCTGATGTTTCAGGGTTAGAACTTGTTAGGAGGGGTTCTTATGTTTAAACATAGAGACACCCATGTAACTCCCTGTAAACAGCATTTCCATCGGTTCAGTACATACCGTTATATTGTGATATTTTGAAAAAACTGAGTTTTCTTTTCTTTTCTTTTTTTTTTTTTGAAGAAGGAACTAAAAGTGAGTTTACAGGGGTGGATTCATAAAAACACTATTCAAACCAGTGACTATAAAAACACTATTCAAACCAACTTTACACATACATATACTATATAAGTTTTGAGTACATTTATTTGTTCGAATCAAATCTGATAGGGGTGAATTCATATTCAGTTCAATTATAAATGGATCAATCATCTTTACCCGGATTGAACTGGCCTTCTAAAAAACCTGGATAAGCAGATAACGCTTTGCAGCCACATATGAAGTTGAGGTCGTAAGTAGGGGTGTAAATGGATCGAATTCGAATTAAGTCAAGCAATATCTTAATTCAAATTTTATTAGAAATTTCAATATCTGAATTTGGTTCAATATCCAATGGATATTGAAAATCAATGCTCGAATTTGAATTTGAATTCAAATTCAAATCAATTAATTATCTTAGGTAATTGTTGATGCTCGGTTTGGCCGATGACAATATTGTAAATTCACTCCTTAAGCCCAAGTGGACCTGATGTACCCGAAGTCCGAGGATTGATATGGCCGAGGACCTGTCACCGAGGTGATGGAGATCCGAGGTCCAAGGTCCGCGGTGTCTGATACCTGAAGTAGGCGAGGATCACGTGGTCAGTTCTGCAAGGAGGACAATGTCAAAGGCCTCGGGCGAAGACCCGAGGCAAGGGCTCTGACAATCAAGTTAGTATTGTGGTACAAGGTGGACAAAGTCTGAGGTGTGACCACCCAGACAAGGTCACTGGAGAGCAATGAATCTCAAACGTTAGTGAGAGAGATCAAGTATTCGATCCCTTACCTGGAGAGGGGTCACCCCATATTTATACTTGAAACCACATAGGGGTAGGTGAGCTCGGACGATGGGGATTGAGTCCATACGTGGGGTGTGTGGCCATCCTAGGCCGCCAAGTGATCCCGCGCCATAGGTTCCTTGATTTTCGCCGAGCCAGGCAGCGCGCGTTAGCTGATTGGTTCAGCTCTGGCATGCGTTGCCCGACATGTAAGAGTCCCGGATTGGACGGTCATTTGCGCCTACATCAGTAATTAATAAATATTTTATTTATATAAATTATATAATTTAAATATTATATAAATTATATAAAAATGTTTAAATATATTATACATTTATATACAAAATTACTTAAACGGTATAAATAAGATATTTGAATACGACCGATTATGATATCCGAATTATCTGAATTTGATTCAGTTATGTCGAATCTTGAATTTAAAATCAGATTTTTGAATTACTTAAATGTTATGAATAGGATATCCGAATATGATCAATTATGACATTTGAATTTATCTGAATTTGATTCAGTTATGTCGAATCTTGAATTTGAAATCTAATTTTTATGAAGATTGAAGCATGCTGAGTTGGACTTTGGATTGGGATCTTAAGTGGAACCCATGCATCTGGTTTGGACTTTGGGCTAGACATTTTTTAAATCACATTTAAATTGTGGGTGTTTATGGCCTATCATGGGCTTAACCATTAGTTCTTGAGACTCAGTCTGGAAAGAGTATAAATACATACAAAATAATACAAAACACAATGTTTTGCACTCTACATATATATATTTATACTCCTTCCAAACTGATCCTGAGGCTGTTTGAAAAGAGTTATTTTGCATGTATTTGGCCAGAGTTATTTTACACTGCTTCAGTCTCGGGCCTTCTAATGGCCCATTCAAGTTTTGACAAAAAAGCCCAATCCGAACCTGTCCAAGTGGCACCGCTGACTTGATCTAATTAGAGCTTGGATTGTGATCTTATTTGGAGTCCATGCATCTAATTTGGACTTTGGAGTTCAGTTTATTAGGCTAGACAAATTTAAAGCACATCAAATAGTGGGTCTTATGGGCCTATAATGGGCATTTCAGGCAAAGAGCACTGGGCCATTATTTCTTGCAGATTTTGACAATCCGATGTTAGGTGGGGCCCTTAGGGACTGTATTGAGTATTGACAGCACAAGCACATTGTAATTTGATCTATTTTAAGTGCTACGTCATCAGTCATCACACCCAAATGGGCTCACAAGATAGTCTAATAAAGTAAGCTAATCCAAGTATTATTATGGTGGAAACCTTGCGTTTTCTTCATCACCTCCTTGACGCATTAGATCCATTAGGGCTGTACACGGGTCAGTTACCTGAGGTGGAAATCAAAACCGACCCACTAATAGACAAAATTGATCTCGTCGGTTTGAGTCGGGTTGGGTCGGTTTCGGTTTTGCTCTTGTAGTCAAACCTTATTTCTGAAACTACCTTTGGTCCAGTGTCAATCTTACTAACCCCTGTTCCACTCAAAAAGCTTTTGTATTTCCTTAGTAAGCAAGCAACCTTAATCTGTTTAGACCTTTGTTGACCACCACCTATATTGAGCAGAGAATTTTTCATTTTTGGGTTCCCAACTGTCCTTTCTCAGAGCCTAGAGTAACCATCTAAGCATAAGTTTTGAATTGAGACGTTGGATTCAGACCCAGTGATCCTGATATGCTATTAGAGGAAGGAAGCTGTAAGACTTCATTTCCTACACCGAGCTCCAGAGTTTCCTTATTTCTGAAACTCCTAATCCCCTTCTGTGGTTCCTTTCTTTGGCTGAAAAAGAAGCTACTTTTATCCATGTCAATGAAGTTAGGAACTACCGAACTAGTAGAAGACTAGTTAAGTAGGAAGACTAGTTTGGTTAGGTTTCGGGTCGGTTTCGGTTTTTACACAAGAAAACCGAAACTGACCCGATATTTCGGTTTATAAATTTGCCCAACCCAAAACCGACTGGTGCTGATGAAAACCCGACCAACTCGGATTGGGTCGGTCCGGGATGATCGATTTGGTCGGGTTGAGCCTTCTTATAAACAGCCCTAAGATCCATAATCGCCTATCTCTCCTTCATCAATTTGAAGAGATTCAAGAAGTGGGAAACAAGGTAATACATCGATTAGCTTAGCAATGAGCAAGCTTTACATCTCTTGTGTCAAACAGTGGCAACAGACTCCTTCGTGCATTCAATTTACATCTCTAATACAACACGTGATTTCAGAAGTGGAGGCGGATAAACCTCCCGAAAGAGATCAAGTTCAGCATTCTTAGCCTTAGCCTTCCTTGCCACAGTATGGGCAGGCATATTTAACAATCTATTTACATGATATATTTATTTTAAAACTATAAAATATGTAAGCATGAAGATAACTTTGTCCAACAGAGCAAAACATTTCCGAAAACAGTAATGCATGCCTTGAGTTAAACACCTCCCTGCTGAAGCAACAAAGAACCACTACTAGAAGTAGAATCAATAATTCCCCCATCACAGAAAATATAATAAGGATAGCTTTGGACAAGTTTTAAATTATGATGAGAATTTACAATAAACATACGATTTGAATCTTCAGAAGAAATAGAAGCCAAAAAGTCCTTAAAAGTTACTCTAATTCTAAGCATTAGGTGAAGTTACTCTAATTCGGTTTGCTGATTTCCAACTTACCAACCTGGGACTAATTTGCTGATTTCCAACCATTCAGTTTGGCTTAGGATTTGTCGAACTGATAAGCAAAAGAGGTATTCATATTCTTTTCCAAAAAAGGGGAATACCCAAGTAAGACTGAAAATCAAGGTTCCCCATTCTTTGATAAGGTTTTTTTATGGACTTGGACCCCAACCATTGGTATAAATACCAAATAGCTACTCCTATCGTCTGAAGTTTTGAACTAAATATAAAACGGAGAAGTACGGATACATYCGATGCAGAATTCTGAATTCTAGCCCCCTCCTCCCCCCATAAATCACATCCTATTCGTGAATTTGACATCAATTCACTGTCAGGATGCATTCCCTCTGTACTTTAGGGCTATAAAATTCTGATCTGGGCTGATTGGTCATTCTCCCAATATAAAACATTTCAAAAGCCATCAACTGAATTCTATGCTGGTTTGGGAGGACTTTTCGGGGGGACGTGGCTTCTGGAGTTCTAAGTTAGGACCCCATTAAACTTATTTATGGACTGTGTTTAGGTTTGATTTTTTGCCAAAATTTTAATGAATCCGATCCAAAGTCCGAATTTGAGATAGTGTAAAATTGGCGCCGAAGTCTGGCCCATGAATAGGTCYAGAGTCCACAACTCTCGAAGCTTTTTTTGGTGAAAATTTAAAAAGTTGATGACTGTGTTTCAGATGCACCAAACTCCCAAGTAATTTCTTGGRAACACGGGTATCTAATCACCATGGCCTACTTTCATCCATGAACGTTGGGCTAAAAGCCGAGGCCCAAATTTTTATAAACTTGAAACTATTGTTGCATAATTATGACTTCTATTTTTTTCTTTCATTTTTTTCTTTTTTTACGTTCTAAAACTCTCTAGCTGAATAACAAGCGGTTTGAGGGTGAGTTCATGAATAGTGATGGCGATTTTTCACATTCCTATCAGGTATTCAGTTTCTCGACCAGGTCAGATCGGGGATGGAGATGGTCTTGATAGGATAGAAGAGAAGATGATGATTTATAATTAGGGAAAATGATCGATAACCCTAGGGTCAGAATTTGTAGGTTCAAAGTACATTTGAGAGAGATGGGATCTACTTCTCACAAATGAGCGCCTTACATACACATCCACCATGCATTGGGAACATCTCCCATGAATAATAATTAATAAGTACGGGAGATGTTCCCAATACATGGTAGGATATGCATGTGAGACGYCAATTCACCGGTGAATATGAGTACATAGAATGTAATTTTTAGACTTTCTGAATGTTTATAACTTTGTAGTGAGAATCAGAAATCTGCATTAAGTATGTCCGTACTTTTTAATTGATAATAATATCCAACTGGGAACAGGGACTAAGGATGGGAGTGAATTCCCTGCCAGACCTCAACCCCAATTATATAATTAAATATATATATATATATATATAATATAATTTATATTATTTATTTTATATATAACAAAATATTTTTATATTTATAAACTTTTTCTTATTTTAAATAAATATATATATATTAAATTAATTTTAATTTTTTAGGGACTCGAGTCCCCGACGCCCCATGGGGGATCGCCGGATCGGGGATGGCAGGTCATTTTTATCCCTGGGCATCGGGGTCGGGGACGAGGACCAGTAAGTCAGTAACTAAGGTCACTGCCCCGAACCCGCCCCGTTACCACTCCTAGACGGGAAGTCGGAACTCGGAACTATGGTATCGGATCAGAATCGTGAGAGGTGAGACAAGATACAGGGCAATACGATCCGGAGTCCCAACTGCCCCCCCGAACGCTATATAGGAACGACGGTTGGCAGTTCTCTTGTCGGTGTCGAACTGAAACCTGCTATACTGATTACATCACGGCAAAAGATAAGAGTTGATACAATCAGTTTAATCCGTTTTTTTTTTCAAGGTAGTTGATGCAACCAGTTTGATCGGAGCCTATAAAATGGGAGACCAAGCAGTCACACCAAAGAGGGTCGTCTGCTGCATAGGTGACGTCCATGGCTTCTTATCCAAGCTCCAGAACCTCTGGTCCAATCTCGAAACCCTAATCGACCCACTTGCCTTTCAGTCTGCCCTGATCATTTTCCTGGGGGATTACTGCGACCGAGGCCCTGACACCCGAAAGGTCATCGATTTCTTGATCTCGCTCCCTTCCAGGTACCCTAACCAGACCCATGTCTTCCTTTGTGGAAACCATGACCTCGCCTTTGCAGCTTTCGTTGGGCTTCTCCCTCCGCCACCTGATGGGTCTCCGTTCTCCGGCACGTGGAAGGAATTCGATCAGAACGAGGAGAGGGAAGGGTGGTATAAGGGGCCCGGCTATGAAAGTATGCATCTCCAAGGTAGAAGATGGGCTGGCTCGATTAAGGACAGATCCAATCATGCCAAGGGGATGGAGTACAAGGGTTCCATCTACGATGCTGGACCCACCTTCGAATCATATGGAGTTCCTCACGGTTCTGCAGGTTTGTCCCTTCGGAACAATTAATGGTTAGTTTGGCTATTTGCAATAATTCTGAATTAGAATGTTTATTGCCCTATAGATTTGGTTAAAGCAGTTCCTGATGACCACAAGAAGTTCCTTGCTGATTTGGTCTGGGTCCATGAAGAGGTTAGGCCTCTCTCTTTTCTTTTAATAATTTCTCTGGGAATTTTGCAAGGAGGCTGATTGTAATTTGATGGGATTTATGGAATAAGATGCTGGAGCTAATTATATAATGGTGAGGGATGTATACAGGATAGTGTCTGGATAGAACTTCCCGAGGGGAGAAAGTGTTGTAAGTTGATAGCTGTTCACGCTGGTTTGGAGAGAGGGAAAGGAGTGGAGGAACAACTTAAGTTTTTGAAAGCCAAGGACACGCGGATTTCAAAGGTGGAGTGCCTCAGTGGAAGGAAGAACGTCTGGGACATCCCACAGGTTGTATAACAGTTTTTGTTGTAGATTTAGGCAAGTGGGTTCATCTGTGTACAATTTGCTAGGTTGTTTTGATCAGTTGATGGCTTGTTTGCTTCTTCACATGGTTGAAATTTTGAAAACATGGCTTAATTGTGTTGATTATGATTAAATTTGGAATTCTTGGTTGTTGATACTCTGCAGGAACTAAATGAGGGTCCAACAATAGTGGTGAGTGGCCACCATGGGAAACTTCACATAGATGGTCTTAGGCTGATAATTGATGAAGGTGGTGGATATGAGAATAAACCAGTGGCTGCTGTTGTACTTCCATCTGGAAAAATTGTCCGTGATACAGATCAATTCTAGTTCCATGTCTCACTGTTATGACCATTTATCTTATATTCTCTTTACTTTCAGTAAGGTGTCCGGCTAAGGTATGGAGCATATTCTCTTTTCTGGTTATGAAGATGGGGTGTAGATCAAACCTTTTTGTTAAGAAATCTTCAATACTTTTTTCTTTGAAGAATTATAATAATATATACAGGCTTGTACTTTTTGCTAGGTTGCTTTGACATTCAAATTTTGCCGTTTGTTGATGTCTAAATATTATTCTGTTTCCTTATCTTTATAAAAAGATGCACTTTAACTACTTTTCACAACTTTGAATTCATTGCATATTTATCATAATGCCTTAGATGAAATATCCAGGGAATCATTTACATATATATGGGAATGTTAGACATTGCTTATACCCCACTTGAAGTGGTTGCAAATGTTTATGAGAAGGTTCCTCACCCTCTTTTATTAGTTTTATTCAATACTTCAATACAAACAGGATTCAACTTATGAAAAAAGTTAAAACTCTCTTCGTATGAAAGATGTCCTGATTCCCTGGTAATTCAATAACCATACTACTGTAAGATTTACCCAAGTGTTTACCATCAATTTGTTTTCTAGTATGAATTTCTTATTCCTCTCATTCTTTGTGATCTTTTAGAATCAAGTTCCTCTTTCCTTCTCATCTGTTCAGACATTATTTGCAGTTGATTGTTCTTTACCATTACAGGCTGAGAGCCTTTCTCTACATGAAAGACACTTTTGTGAAATGTTGGATAACCTTATCATGTAAATTGTGGGAACTATGGAAAGTTATTATTTCTTGGATCTTACATACCTTGAATTTTTGCTGAATGGAATTTACTGCTAGACGGAAGAACCTACAGGGATATGTATGTTGCTCTTCTTGACCATCCAAGTCCAGTAAAAAATTCAACTTGGAGTGGCTATGAAGTTCTCTTTTCCTGGATGATGGTTTGTCTCAAATGTTTATCTCCATGAAAATGATGATTATATCTTGAACTGTAGGCGATAGAAGATCTTGTTGACCTTTATCTGAAAGATAATGGGACACTTGTAATATCAATAGCTAAGGCATTATAATCAATTTGAAAGAGAAGTTTTGTTGTTCATTGAATATGTTATTCATTTGAAATGAAGTGTCTTTGCATTGACTTATTATTCCATAAGAACTTCTTATAAAATTATAAGTAATGAGGGATCTTTTTTTTTTCTTTTTGCAATTTAGTTGCTTAAATATCAGATGTGTATTCTTAACATCCACATTTTTAGTGATGATTAGATTCAGGTGATGCTGAAGTCATCATCAAGTGGCCATAATTGTTAAGGCATAAAGGCAATTCTAGGCAAGAGTGGAGTGGCTAGCCACCCAAACACCTGCCTAGGCAATAGAATTTTACATAATAAAAAAAACTAAATCCTTGGTCAGTTCCCTAGTTGCAGGAAATGCAAAATAGAGTGCCTACTTGCAGGAATTCTCTTCCACCCTAAAGCATAAGATGGGAGTTTAACAAGGCTACTAGCACCTTGAGTTGGGTCACATCTCTTTAAGATGATGTCAGTTGAAGTAATTGCATTTGATTAACTAAAGTGGCTTTGTGTGTTAAGCTTTGCTAGCCCATTGATTTGGTTATATTACCTAATGAAGAATGGCTAAATGAAAAACAAAAGTAACTCCTGAACACCACACCTTTGCAGTATTAATGAGGAAAATAAGCATATGTGATTGTATCCAGCAATGAGAAGGTGTTAAGTGAATATACTCTGCTTTTGTTTACCTTAAGGCTGTGTTTGGTTTGAAAGAAAGGAAGGGAAACCTCTTCCAGTTGACTTAATTTCCCTTCCTTTTCTTTTAAACCAAATACAGCCTAAAAGATCTGAGGAATGCTGTCCTTGTATACCTGCTTACCCTACTGCTTAATAGTCATGGGATCAGGATCCTTCTATTTTTTTCCAGCAGGTTTTTCTTTTCTTTTTTTTTTTTTTTTCAAACTGGAGATTGGACAGAGAGCAAGATTTTAAGGTTATTGGAAAGGTCTTCCTATACATAAATCTGTGCAAGTTGGAGTTACAAGACTTATATTTGATCTTGAATTCAAATATCTTTCATGTGGAGAAAATTTGAATTAGAAGAGGAATATGCGAGAGAACTTGTTTTAAATGTCAATTGAACTCAGCACAGGAATCAACTTGATGTTCTTAAGGCTCTGTCTGTTTGCAGTGCACTGGTGTAAATACATGGAAGTCTAAATTCTGGATTATTTTGCTATTATTTTGTCTTATTTGTTTGTAAGAAGTAAAATAGGAAATAAATGATGTGATCCCCACCTTGTACGAAAGAGAATGGAAGTAGGAGGAAGGTTGTTTGTTTGGGAGTGAGGTAAGAAGCACGATGATGTGGTCTCCACTTTATATGAGAGAGAAATAAGGTAGGAGCTAGGAGGTTGGGATGCAAAATTTGCACTTCTGGTGAGTGTTGTTGTTTAAAAGGGTTAAGCCTTTAGGTGAAACGGACAGATTTTCCTTCTAAGTAAGCCTCAAAACTTATCAAAATGAGGCATATGGCTCAAGCCTCAAGGCATTAAGTCTAGCTTGAGGGAAAAGGTGCAATCCTCAGAAATTAATAATTATTTAATAATTTAATATAAAAAGAAATATTTTATTTTTTATAGTTCAAAATATATGAGAAGAGCACCTTAATAATTATAGGCCAAATAAAATAGTTAAAGTGAAAAACCAATAGGACAAATCAAGTTCTTTTGGTTCCTAGCATTCCAATTTAATTTGTTACAAACAAACGGATGTAAAACTTAACTGGATGCAAAATTCGCATATGGTTCAGCTTGTTGCACCTCAAACAGACAAAGTGAAAAAAAATATGTATATATTATATAAAATTAAAAAAACTGATTGATAAACCAAAAAAATAAAAATTAATCTTTTTTATTTGATGGGAAAATACCTGATAAGCAGGATGAAGCTACAGAACCTGAACCCTTTTTGCTGAAGAAAATAATATTCATCGAAAAGAAGCCAGAACAGAAGGTGAATTTCCAATGGAACAGGCCAGCGTGACAACAAGTCACTAGCAGTAGAACCCAACCGAAGGAGCTGTATTTCCAATCCGCTTTCTCCCCTTAAGCTGTATAAATGTCCATATAATCCCATTTGGAGAGATTGACTCCTGAAAGCCGAATCGAGTTATAGTTCTGTTTCCATGATTTTGGATGATACCCGAAGCCTTGGTTGATAGACTTGAGCTGAGCCTTGAATTGATTTCTGACATCGTCATCATTTAATTCTTATCCCAATCATATGAGATCGGTCACATGAATTCTGTCTTGCCATTCCTTGTTTTACCCAATACATTTTCTCAGAGAAATCAATAATTCTGACTCTCCAAACCCTGATGATTTAGACAAACCTATTTCTCCAATCCAAGTAAAGAGTTGGAGCTCAGCAACCCTGAATGTAGAAAATAGATAGACATTGTGGGTCGAAAAATAAAAGAAGAAAAGGAAAACCACCTCTTGTTTGGTTGCTTAATTTAACCTAAACCAAATACTAATTGTATGCAAAATTTTTGGCGCATCAAAAGATTAATTTAGATGAATGTGACGGTAAATATACCTTGTTGTGAAAGTGTAGATCGTGAAATATTAATTAATAAAAAGTAAACTTAGGGGGTGTTCTTTTTTTTGGATTTTGAGAGGGGGGGGGGAGTTCCTAACACTTGAATGAGACAAAAATGTCCCGTTTAATAATGGATTTTTATGGTTAAAATGGTCATTTGTTTTTTTACTTAGAAAATAATAGAACATGGGTAAATACACTTACTTAGATAAGTGTTTTCCATGAAAAACTTACCCAGGTAATTTCATTTACCCGGATAAGTAACTTACCAAAAAGCGAACAGGGCCTTAATTTAAAGTGATTGCTTGAAATCTAGATTTAACATGCTGTGACAATATTAGTGAATGTATTGTAATTGAACTTTAGCTTCATACAATCTTTATTTGGCAATATTTGAATTAAACAAGCACTCCTTTCGATAAGGTTAAATATATGATTCGGGAAGGTATGGCATTGGAAGAGCTTTGGAATCGATCAGCTCAGATTGAACCAATCTATTCTAACTTCAGACATCTGCTTGATGCCATTTTCCTAATTTATGTCTAAAGGACGCATTTTAGAATTTGATTCATTCATATGACTAATAATATGCATGCAGAGATAGTTTAGTTGGTGAGGATCAATGAGTATAGATTTGTATTTTATTTAGGGACTCTTGTCCAATAAGAATTGTTGGTTGCAAGTTCTAAAAACAAAACAAAATCAGCTGGTTTGAAAACAAATCTGTTCTTAAAACAAAAACACAAAACCCATGTTTTTAGTTGTCTATGTTCTTTTTTTCAAATCCTATGGGGTTCTGATAGACAGATTGTATTAGGGTCAAGATGGATTGGATACCAAAAGAATTCCTAAACCTTATAGGGTTTAGGTTTTCAAAACAAAGCTTAGTTCAAAAACATTTTTTATACTACTATTGCAATTTCAAAATCAAATGAAAATGAAAAATATTCTTGTTGTAAAAAGCCAAACATCCCCTTAGTTTTCATTCATGGTGGAATGGCATTTCTCCATAATGGCCATTCTCTCTCCCTCCCTTGGGATTAAAATCTCATTCCAACTAATTTCAATTTTTATTATGATTTTTGTCTGAACCAAACAGATTATGAGAATAAACCATTCCAATTCAGAAGGATTTCAATTCTAATTCCAACTACAAACCATTAGTTTTATGTTTGGTTTGACAGGTGATAATATAAAGAGAAAATGTTGTAGAAGAATCACGTAATCATTTATGGTCATCAAACTAATCAGTGGTTATGGTATGGGTTTACTACGAACCGCAGTAAACCTTACCAACCAGCTATTGTCACCATGCAGGGGTGGGTGGCTTTAATCGGTCAAAACCCTTCCTATTTTTCTTATCATGCCTTTCCTATACCATAGTTTTTTCCATTTTTTCTTTTTCATTCTGAACGATTTTTTTGTCTTCTGACTAGACGTCCATATAATAATCCTTCTTGTCTCTCATTGGTGAAAAGATTCAAAAATAAGTGGGGATAGGTGTACATCACCAATTAACTCCTCCAATCGGCTCTTCCATATAGGCGGAGGCTCCACTTCTCGTTTTTTCCACTTTCCTTCTTGTTTCCTTCTCAGTTGAAAACGATTTTAGAGTCTTTTAGAGTTTATTAGTAAACGTTACTTCGACCACTGCTGGTATTAACAACCGATCAGATTGATCGGTTTGAGCTTCCTGTTCGTAGTTTCGGGTTTTCACACGAACCTCTGAAAATGGGAGAGCAAGGGAGACCGACAGAACCAGAAATCTCCACGAACGAGAGGATAGTCTGCTGCATAGGCGACCTCCATGGCCACATCTCGAAGCTCCAGAAGCTCTGGTCCAATCTCGAAACCGTAATCAGCCCACCTTCATTCCAGACCGCGCTGATCATCTTCTTGGGCGACTACTGCGACAAAGGCCCCGATACTCGAAGTGTGATCGACTTCTTGATTTCACTCCCTTCCAGGTATCCGAAGCAGACCCATGTCTTTCTCTCTGGGAATCATGATCTCGGCTTCGCTGCGTTTATAGGGGTGCTCCCTCCACCGCCCGACGGATCGACGTTCGCCGAGACGTGGAAGGGGTCCGAGCAGTACGGTGAGAAAGTAGGGTGGTATAAGGGAGCAGGGTATGAAAACATGCATCTTCAAGGGAGACTCTGGGGTGGCCCCGTTGACTCTAACGCTGCATCTACATTCCAGTCTTATGGGATTCCCTATGGTTCTACAGGTGTGTCTCTACTCTCTACTCTCTAGGCTCTGTCCAGTTTACAGTTGCCAATATGGACCGGATACAAATTTTGCACCCGGTTCAGTTGCCACTTTCTTTTGATAAAAAAAAATTGCACCACCTTCCTCTACCTTGATTCTTTGTGGATCACATCATTTTTACCATTCTAGGGGTGATTATGGGCCGGGCCGGGCGCAAGCTAAGCTTAGCACCTATGGGATATCCACGGTGTAGGTATCACTAGTTTTTGCAATTTCCCCAATTGATACCACTGGTTAATATATATATATTAACCGGTTGATTGATTCAATTCTTTGATTTTCAGTTTTTAATATTTATAATATATATTATAAATATATATATATATATATTTAATATACATAAATATATATATATATATATATTTATATTTATATCAGTTGGTTCAATTAATTGCATTTTCAATTTGATTTTCCAAGTTCAGTTCAGTTTTTAGATTTTTTTTACGCACCCCTACAAGGCAACCCACTCCAGATCCCAACCCCGAAATATAAGTTAGGCTCGGGTCTAATGCCAGGTATTGGACCTATATCACTAAATTCGTTATATTTAATACATAGTTTACTTTATATGGCATATTATATATGTTATAATTTAAATAAATATATGTGATATATAAATATATTTAGAGATTGGACCTGAACAGTGAAAAGAAAACTGAGACACAAGCCTGAAAATTTTGGAACTGGCTGGATTGGATTGGAAATGATCACCCTCATCCTACCCTACTCCCGATCATTTTACTTGTCATAAACAAACTAATAAGAAAAGCCAATTCTAATTTCTAAAGCAAAAGTAAATCAGAATTTGCACATAGTCCATTTGGATTCACTTGTATTTCTGCAGACTTGGTTAAAGCTGTACCCGAAGAACACAAGAAGTTCCTGGCTGACTTGGTTTGGGTCCATGAAGAGGTTACTCGATCCCCCCCTCCCCGGGTCTTTTGATAATATATATATCATTCATCTCAGGAGAGCTGAGTAGAGATTGTCGATTGATTGCTATACTTTACAGGATGATGTCTGCATTGAGACTTCAGAAGGAAGGAAACACTACAAATTGATAGCTGTTCATGCAGGTTTGGAGAAAACGAAAGGAGTCCAAGAACAGCTCAAGCTTTTGAGAGCCAGGGACACAAGCCAACCTATGATCGTTGCTCTCACTGGGAGGAGCAATGTTCTAGATATCCCACAGGTTGTAGCTAGCTTTGTTGGTTTTTCTTTGATTGGGCTACATTTTGATGAAAGGGGTGACTCTTCTTGCTTGGGATATGAATTAATGCTTGGAGGTTTCATGTTTAATTTGCAGGAACTAGTTGATTGTCCAACACCAACAATGTTGGTAAGCGGTCACCATGGAAAGCTTGAGCTTAATGGGCTTAGGCTGATCATCGATGAAAGTGGTGGAAAAGAGAGAAAACCATTGGCGGCCGTCGTGCTCCCATCAATGATGGTCGTCCGAGACATTTGGTGACATAACACCTGGCCCTTATGGGGGCTAAAGTGCTAAGCCCACGTCACCAACAGATGTGAATGCTAATAGGTTGGAAAGTGATTAGAATAATACAACTTATTAGCACTCTCAATTAAAGATATATGAGTTGTGCAAGGGGGCATTGGAGGAAGGGTTGTGAGTAGATTGTATCAAATTTGATCCAATTACATTCTATGATATCGACTTGATTAAACATCTAGGTATCTGTGCTAAGACCCTTTTTAGTTTTTAATTCGATTCTCAATAAACCTATAGAAAAACCTAATAAGCCTATAAGAATTAGCATGAAGCATCATTTGTATCGTTATTTAACATGATATCTCCATCAGATATACAAGCATACATACACACAGATGTGATCGTTGCASGTAGACAAGTTGTGGTTCCACTGATACCCATTAGGGGTGCAATTTCCGCAGCCCAACTCAAGCCCAAACCAATTTAGACTGCAATTTTACATGGCTGGAT